TAAAGTATACATTACCAGAGCATTTCATATTCCTGACACGTGTATGATGTAGTATGTACTTGGGTACAAATGTATCCTGTTTTTTCTTTGTATTTCTTCCTTTGTTGGAAATATCGGGGGATCCTGCCAGTCCCCCTGCTTTTCTATTTCAAATAGACCATGCTAGTCACAGAAGCTTATCTATCACAGTGTGGTCCGTTTTCTGGCTGTTGTGGGAGCACATCTTTCTGGTCCTCCAATAGCCAGACTTGTGCTGACATAACCCCTTGGAAGATCAGTGTATTGCTCTCTGCCTCCTGTTGACATGCCCCCTGCAGTCCACCCTCGGGCCCCCCCAACCTTTCCAAACTCTGTTTGATGCCAAGAACAGAGGTTATGTGATTGATTCAAACGTTTTGCCTTTAATTTCTATTTTTAACTGAAAGGGTTGTTTTACAAGGTGAGGGTTCACAAACTTTAAAACAATCAGAATGCATTTTAAACGATAATATTGTTGAATGCTAGTGGAAAAACTAATCAATCATTTCATAATATATTTTAAAATTATAATACAATGTCACCAATATAATTAAGTGTCTTTTCCACGCAACATCCAAAAAGAGTAACATCTAGGTGCCTAAAGAAAATATCAGTCTAGTTCTTTTTTTACTAATGACATGTGGAAATTCAGCCAATAAAGCAATGATTTCAGCCTATTAAGTGAATAAATGCTCTGCTCCAGTCCATCCTGAGACCCAACTATTCCCCTGCTGGACACCACCATCTAGCCTCCCACACAGCACAGACCAGGTGTACCACCATTCCAGTCACAGTCAGCACGTTCCTGTGACACTCATGTGCGATAGCCCTCAGCACGGAAGCCGGCATACATCAGCCAGGACAGTGGTTACAAATGACGCCAAAGACGTTGAAGAACAATGGATATTTTTTACATAGTTACATTGGTCCAAGCTGGAACAAAGTAACTATGCATATACCATACCGGCAGGATCCCTCTAGAAGTTCGAAATCACTGTAGTAGACACCACTTCTCTCAATGAATGCAATGCATTCTCTGATTTAACAAGTGAAGAGCGCGACATCACTTTTTTTTTTTTTTTTTTTTTTGGGGAAAGAGTTCTATTGAACTTTAGAGGAACCAATATGTTACAATGCCTATGGAATTTGGTCTTTTTTAAAATGTTCAAGTTACACACAACTTGAAGCACCCTGTGGGAATCGGTGTGTTTTAATTGCATTTTCAATTTGTATGTGCACATAAAGAAATAAAATAAGGTGGATTTACGCTAATGTGTATCAAGAGATTAGTTTGTGAAATCTATTATGTAACCCTCAAACGTATGACCTTAAGAAAAAGAATTCCTTCTCGTCTGCTCACACACAGCACTGTTCTCTCACCCCACCCACAGAAACGTATTTGTTATAAGTGACATAATACAGTTTTATCGGAGGAGTAAATATCCTTTTAACAAAATTAACAGAATTTTAAAACAAGCCACCTCTGATGTCTTTAGCCGTTTTTAACATGAAGTATTTCTTTTCAAAGATCACAAAGACTTGAAACTGGTTTCAATTCAAGTTCTAGTCCCTTAAAAACACAAGCTAGTTAATTACATTAGAGGGCTGGCAGGTGGCAAAGATTCTGTTCTCTGCGCTGTGAGCTTTGAACACTAATTTCTTCACAAAGTCTATAGATACATAGTTGAATGAGGACTTGCTTTAACATGCTATTATTACTTGTTAACCCCTTGATGTCGATCACATGCAAACATGCGGCCTCTCAGCATCTGGGCCTTGACGCCGAGCGGCCGCATATTTGTGTACAATTAGAAATTACATGTGTTGCACACTCCCAGCACTTATGTCCGCAACTCCTGGCAAGGTCCCGATCTCCCCTTTCGATCAGGACCTTTTCCGATCATGTCACCTCAATGACGGCGAATCACGGCAGTCACATGATCCTAAAACCCTGCCACACCTCCTGGCTTTTGAAACGCTTAAAGGGCCAGGAGGAGCAGGCGCTAAGAGGTTCAGAAAAATACTTTGTTCTGCATGATCAGGCAATACTTTCACTTTAACCCTTCCTCTGCAACCAACATGAGGCTTACATCAGCAACAGCAAGGATATTTACATATGCTCTGGACTGCTACAGCAGCTGGGAATGTGTGTACTTGTCAAACAGACTGTTGGCTGACAGACGTGATCACTTCCAACGTAACCAAATCATTCTGTGAACTGAAAAGACAAAGTTTGGGTGCCAATCGGGTAAGGAGGTGAAGTCCAAACTATAAAGGTATGAGTGCTAGCAGGAACAGGGAGTTCATCCTAGCTGGGATGAAGCAAAGTCAAAAGGGAGGAACCCATCTGTAATGATTATGTGCAATAGAGATATGGAAGCTGTACGTGACAGCCATCTTAAGGTCTCAGCCATTTTGTTTTTCATGAACAATCATCTTTCATCCCTCCTCTTGAAAAGTAATTTGTAGCTGTAAATTGTAAAGGACTTCAAAAGAGCCTCTTATGGTAAATAAAACACAAATAGAGGCCAGCTCCAGAGTTGTAAACTGCTAAATAGTCTTGGCAGGATGTCTATTTTGCAAAGACTCTTTCCTCTGACCTATCGTAAAACAATAACTCAGTCAGCCGTCACACATGACCTGTTAGGCCATTCGAGTTTAGGAATGCAGTGTGTGCCATAAAACATCTATTCCACATGTAACCATTTCACATACAGTTCATAGCATCCAACAGGAACTGGGCACATTAATATTAGGGATATATTTGAATATGGCATTTCATGCCGAGCCAAACAAGGTCATACATGACAATGTTAGCACATAGGAGAGAGAAGAAAACAGTCTCTTCCCTCCTTGGTGACAAAGGTACGCTCTGTTTGGTATCCCTGGGTTAGAAATATAATTCTGAATATTAATCTGCCAGTTGCTAGAATACCACCTGCACGCATTGGAAGTTATTAATATTAGTATGAAATTGTAGTTGGGACTTGGTCATAAACTTGATGACCTCCTAGAACCCATCCCCTAAACCGGGAGATTGGTAAGTTGTTCTCAGGCGAAACCCCTTTAATATCATAGAGAGGACTGACAGGCCTGGTGAAGAACAGCTCTCGTTTAACATCAATCAAGAAACATCTTAACGGACTTGAGAGACAAGGCAACGGTCTTGCTCTGACAATTGGACTCTGTTAAACCAGCACTTTGCTAGTATTCTGCCTTAACTCCTTTTTCTTTTATTTCTCTGTCACTCTATTGTTCTCTTTGTCTTTGTAACTTCTTTTTCTGTAAATATTTTGATTGCACAATTTTGACCTTTTTAGTAATAAACCCTTTTTTGAAGTGTTGAAACTGTCGCTAAAGCTTTTAATGCAAACTAAAGAATCCATGTCTCTTGAAGAGTGCTACTGTATGTAATAAACTTCTGAATATCCCGATCTGTGGTGACAGTGTGTGTTGCAGATGCTTATGCTAAAGTTATAGTGTTATTGCTAGGATTTGTGAGTTTACTCCTTCTCTAAAAAGGCAGTGGTGGAAGCGTGAAGACTTAATTGTGTAATTAACCTAACCCGGTAACAATCGCTCTCAGGCAGCTGGCACAGATTGTGGTCCATCGAGCCGGAAAATCTTTGTGCAGGGTGCAACTGAGTGGCTTTGTTACGCGAGTGACAGCGCGGTGCAAGACTGGCTGGTCCTTTTTCACGAGTTGGTGAGAAGGGTAGGGGTCAGGCACCGCGTTCCATCACACCATCAGCCGCACATCAAGAAGACCTGTGTATAAAGTGGAGTGGCAGCCTCAGCCCGAACTTCAGCCAGGCCACGCCCCCAATGTGTTTCACCCCGCCCCTTGGAGCTTATTCATGGGAATCATGAGTAAGCTTTAAGGGGTGGAGTGAACTACATTGGGGTGTGGCCTGGCTGATGTCCAGGCTGAGGCTGCCACTCACTCCACACACACGGGTCTGCATCTTGATGTGCGGCTGAGGGATTTCACCTTCTGACACTGAACTAGATTATTCTGCCACCATGATCTATGCTTGTTCAGCTTCAGAGGAGTCCATAGATGATGTTATGGGTCCAAGACTAATGTCTCCTTAAAAGGAAATGTCGAAAACAATATAGGGGGCTATTTGCCCATTAGTCCTCCTTCCCCACATACTTATGTAAACACCTGCGTTGGGTTCCGCTACATGTGACAATGTGCTATATATCACCACACATGCCAGAGTGAAAGAATAACTTCTAAGGCAATCTAGGGCTTGTAAAGAATCGCCTATAGACAATTGTGGCTACTCAAGCTGAAGTTTGTAGCAATTGAGGACATGCAACGACATGACATGCAACCTCATCTTTTACAAAAACTGGGTGGTATATAACTTGTGCACTTTTAAATTTTTTAACTGCAAAAATGCTTTTGCCAAAGCTGGGCTAACAACGATCACCATTTTATTCTCCAAAGTACCCAATTTCATAAAATATGTTTGGGGCTTTTATGGTATCTTCTAGCTTAAACCATGCATTTTAGACACATGCAAAAAATTAAAACATGGATATGGCAACAAAAGGGTTCAGAGCCAAGTGCATATCTGGCAGAACAGTAGTTATCTTTTTTTCTTACTGGGTCTTTAAAAAACAAAAACACAGGAAAATGCATGTACTGTAGGTATGTACCGCATAGGAGTTCATATGAATTTGATTTACTTTGCCTTTTCATGCAACTAAAAACAAAAATCCTAAATGTGATAAAATTGAGGTTGGAGTTCATTTTAACCTGGCTTGCCAGCAGCTCCATATTTCTGACATTAAATATTCAAAGAAGAATCTAAAATTTCAGTTGTAATTCCCAGAATACAAGGTGGGTTGCATAATTTAGTACAGATCTGCCTTTTGCATTTTTTTTTTTTTTTTTAACATATTTCGGTACAGTTTATAATTACGGTATTTATCAAAAAGAAAAAGCACTTGTTTTCAGTAAATATCCCTACCTCCCATGTTTATTGCTCCACGGACGCCCATATCACCCATTCTCATATCCTGTTCTCTCTGAAAATAAACATAGTTTTCACAGTCAACCTAAAACATTTTATTAAAGGCTTTTAAGCATTACAAAAAGATATAAGTAGTTAGTAATGATATTCCATAAAAAGAGAACCAGTAAGGTTGTTACTAACCTGTAAAAGTACAAAAGGGAGAAAAAAAGTTGTGTACAAAGCATGACTAGTATGTTACCCACACACAGATTTAAATGAAGCCAACAGCAGAAAAGCATGATCGGACTTCATATGACTACACAACTAGAAGTCCTACCTAGCTCTCTTCATTGGAAATGGCTAATGTACAAAAACCCATGAACAAGAGAAGGAATTTTTTGCCAGTACAAAAATTAAGCAAAATTTACATAAATCCAAACTGTTTAACAATACAAACATTGACTTTAAATACCTTATTTTCTAAAAAAGTAAATTAAACTACTATTTGTTTCTACTCAAATGAGCTTACAATCTAAATGTTGAAAATCAGAAATGAACACCGCATTTCCCATCAGTCCTTACACTGCAACAGCCATTTGCAACATGAAAGCATTGAAATTTTTCATTATACTGAAGCTTAACGGAATATTTTTAGAAAACCATATAACCTTTACCAGAACATTTTTACATTTTTGTTAGACTGTTGTATTCTTAACCACAGATCCATATCATGCATGTGACACTTATGTGAAAAAGCTTTTAAAGGGGGGGGGGGGAGAGAGAGAGGGAGGAAAAAAAACATTTGCCCATGGATAAAAATTTCTCTCTGAATTCGCACAGAACAAATCTAAACAGATTTAGTATTAAACTTCAACCAACTTCAAATCCAGCAAAATTATATTGAGGAGTGCAGATACTATTTATGGACGGATTTGAAAACATCTTTAGTGTGGTTGTGAACTACTTAAAGAACAATGAATATAGAACGATTTTAAACCAGTGAGACGTTGTCCATTTTTTTCATCAATACTTATAAAAGCAGAGAGCCACTATACAAGCCATTTTGGGAGATTCAAGACATCAAAAGGTTTTCACTTCATATTTTCCCTTCTGTTTTGTTACGAATAAAGGTTTTTGCATATCTATTTCAACATGCATTGTTGTTACAAAATGGCTTAATCTGTTTTAATCCATATATCCCCAGGAGTCATATAGCATTGCTTGGAAAATCTTGGAATACAATCAGAACAGGCGTCATAGGTTGGAACCATATACAATACACTAACACGTTGTATTACACTCATCAGCATTCAACTATAAACATGTTTTATATTTCATTCCATATTGCCAAAATGCAGACAAAAATCTCAATTTCAGAGACTTCATTTTCTATGGGGGAGAAAAAAAGCATCCCATTAATGCTTCTATTATCCTGCATTCACACCTATGTGATTTGAAAAGTTATGGATTGAGCCGTACAATGGTGACTATGGATGGGTGGCTGCAAATACCGAACACAATCTGAAGAGAACAGGCAGAAAACAAAAATATAATGCTGCCCCCGAGACTGTATATTGTGCAATTGATTATTGTGCATAAAATGTGTGCAGAAATGGTGCTATAGAGCACCTCCCCCACTTTCTGTACATCAGTTTCTCTCCACTTATAAACCGGTGTTAATGCTTGAAAAATATTTCCTATGTTAGGAAAGTGCAATACTACATGCACCTTCACCATTAACAGTGCAACACTACAGTGCCACTCCAAGGTTTACATACGGATTTCCCGTGAAAGGCATTAGACACAGAAAGTGGCTGGGATTCTTAAAACACATAACAGCACAAGTTTTTCCCATTACCTAATGCAGGGGTGACCTTGCAGTTGTAAATTACCCATTTAGGACTGGGGCACATCTGAAGGAAGGCAGAGGCCAGCCAGTAAGCTACTGTTGGATTAGAAAACTTGTCCAAACCATTACTGGTATCTCCAAAGAAAAAAGGTATCATGGAAACCATTGCCAAGCTGCGCTCTCTCCTTCTGAGAAGCAGGTATGTCAAGACAAACAATTTCAAAATTACCTTATGTTTTTCTGAAAACTGTATATTTTCTCAGTCTAAACATTTGATATGTTTTCTATAGAGAATAAAATATTGGTTTATGAGATTTGCAAATCATTGCATTCAGTTTTTAGGGAGTAGACATTTTCAGTCCAACTTTGGGTTTGGGGCTTTCCTCCTTTCTCCTCTGAAGCCTCCCTCTGGGATGTTTTTTAGGTTTTTTTTTTTTATTACTTGCCTTTTCCAAAAATCTTCAGGCCAGTTAAAGCAATATGTCAGCGTATCTCCATTTGATGTACTAAATTCTACATGCAGTGAGGTCCTACTAAAACATTTAATTTCTATGCAACCAGGTAAGTCCTCACACTACATATTCACTGGTAAATCTAACAAGACTGTACAATTGGACTATAAAGCAAAGTGGCCAGCATTACCTCTGGCATTACTCCATTGCTTGAGCTCATTAAATCCCTGGGCATCCCAAGTCTGGAAAACACATATGACGTTAGAGTACTTTGCTTACTCCCGGAAAGGTACTGGTTTTCTCCAATTATCTTGCCTGTCCGAAAACAGACAAATGCACCGTTTGAGGATCTCGAGCAATGGAGCCAACTGACACTTGTGAGGCCAGATAAAAATCTGTTTGCAGATTCAGTGTAGTTGGTTTTAAATCTTTAATATGCACATTGATGTGTCTTCCCATGCATTAAACTACTAGTTTGGCAAACAAATCTTGACTATGTACACAAAAAGTTAAAGAAATCAAGTGCATTTTAACTATTTTACAATATGCATGTGGAAATTTACAAAAAACAATTTACATGCTTTGTTTTTGAACGAGGTATGTAGAGACACCTGCATTGATGACTCAGTACAGTTCATGTATGAATACTTTGTGGACAAGCATAAACTCTGGCATTCTTTGTTTTACACCCATCTTATTTATGGAGTGTTCTTGTTCTCCAGCAGTGCTGCCAGTAGCTTTGCTTTTTTGCATATATTTTTCCCGCTCACCTTACTTTCCTGTTCACCACATGCCCCAAAGTTTTGAGAATCTTAAACTCTAATTAAATTGATTTACCATTGCGTCTTGCTCTTAACTTTGTAGAAGCATAAACTTTGTGTGCATTTAAAATATCTACTCTCAACATATGCATGCTCTCATGTATGTTTTTTTTTATTGTCCTTAACCTCTTCCAACACGTAATTTGGTGTTATGGTGTATTTAAATTTTTGCTACATATTTATCAACCATAAAATGGAAATATGAATGTAATTCTCATCCTGCTTTTAATGACAACACAATAAGTTTATGCAAAGAGTAAATAATTGCCGTTTTGACCCTTCTTTTTCCAAGACCTCTGCAATTTACCCTTGCATGCAGTCAATCAACTTCTGGGCTACATCCTGACTGATGGCAGCCCATTCTTGCATAATCAATGCTTGGCGTGTCAGAATTTGTGGGGGGTTCTTTTGTTCACGCCTCTTGAGGATTGACCACAAGTTCTCAAATGGGATTAAGGTCTGGGGAGTTTCCTAGACATGGACCCAAAATTTCAATGTTTTGTTCCCCAAGCCACTTAGTTATCACTTTTGCATTATGGCAAGGTGCTCCATCATGCTGGAAAAAGCATTGTTAGCCACCAAACTGTCCTTGGATGGTTGGGGGAGAAGTTGCTCTCGGAGGATGTTTTTGTACCATTCTTTATTCATGGCTGTGTTCTTAGGCAAAATCTGAGAGTGATCCTACTCCCTTGGTTGAGAAGCAAACCCACACATGAATGGTCTCAGGATGCTTTACTGTTGGAATGACAGGACTGAAGGTAGTGCTCACCCTTTTCTTCTCCAGACAAGGTTTTTCCGGATGCCCCAAACAATAGAAAAGGGGATTCATCAGAGAAAATGACTTTAACCCAGTCTTCAGCAGTCCAATACCTGTACCTTTTGCAGAATATCAGTCTGTGCCTGATGTTTTTCTCTGGAGAGAAGTGGATTCTTTGCTGCCCTTCTTGACAGCAAGCCATCCTCCAAAAGTTTTCACGTCACTGTGCGTGCAGATGCACGCACACTTGCCTGCTGCCATTCCTGAGTAAGCTCTGCGATGGGGGTGCCCTGAACTCACAGCTGAATCAACTTTAGGAGATAGTCCTGGCACTTGGATTTTCTTGGGTGCCCTGAAGCCTTTTTCACAACTGAACCTCGCTCAAAGTTTTTATTAATCCGATAAATGGTTGATTTAGGTGCAATCTTAATAGCAGCAATATCCTTGCTTGTGTAACCCTTTTGTGTAAAGCAACAACTGCAAGCGTTTTTCCTTGCAGGTAACCATGGTTAAAAGAGAAAGAACAAGGATTTCAAACACCACCCTACTTTTAAAGCTTCCAGTCTGTTATTCTAACTCAATTAGCATGAGAGTGATCTCCAGCCTTGTAGTCAACATTGACACCTGTGTTAACGACAGAATCCCTGGACATGTTAGCTGGTCCTTTTGTCGCAGAGCAAAATGCAGTGGAAATTTATTTTTGGATTAAGTTAATTTTCATGGCAAAGATGGACTTTGCAAATAATCTGATCACTCTTCATAACACTGGAGTATATGCAAATTGCCCTCAAAAACTGAAGCAGCAGACTTTGCGTAAATATATATTTGTCTCATTCTCAAAACTTTTGGCCACGGCTGTATTCTGGACTTCTACAGCATACAGAAAGCATTTTAACACAATATATGCAAGCACACAGTGATAATAAATCTCCATGCCTGTGTAAACACTTTTGAAAGGCTTAACAGAGGTAAGCAACGTCCGGTACGTGATAGCATCAAGAACAGCACCCAAGGGGACTCCTGGGAGACCCACCTCCCAAACAAAGCTGGCAAGTGGCTGCATACAGAAGCAGCACAGCTGGTGACAGCTCCCCCTTTATTCCCACTGGTTTCGGTTCCTACATTGCTTTCTCCACACTGAAGCTGTCGAGTCGGATTCCTCAGGCTGCTTGTTCTCACTTTGAAAGGGTAATT